CTGACTGGGGAAATGGGCACAGTATGCACTGTGAGCCTGACACAGAAGCTGGCAGCAGTGTCAGACAACTGACTGCTATTCAATCTATAACAGTGAAAAAAGTTTTTTGTTTTTAAATCCAAGCTATTGTGACACCAGATGTATTTGGTGGCACTGACTGGGAAAATGGGCACAGTATGCACTGTGAGCCTGACACAGAAGCTGGCAGCAGTGGCAGACAACTGACTGCTATTCAATCTATAACAGTGAAAAAAGTTTTTTGTTTTTAAATCCAAGCTATTGTGACACCAGATGTAATTGGTGGCACTGACTGGGAAAATGGGCACTGTGAGCCTGACACAGAAGCTGGCAGCAGTGGCAGACAACTAAGTGCATTTACATTACATAGAAAAAATCCAAAAAAGTATTATGCTACCCTTATCCCTTAACCTAGCTATGCTTCTTTTCCCTATCTTTTATGAACAGTAGCTACACTTTCCTCCCTCCTTTTACTAAGCATGCAGCTTGAGAATGAATCTTTTAAAATGGATGCCGTCCAGCAGTAGTGGAGTGGGTCTGCTAGGAGGCTTCGTGCTGCTAATTACTGGAATGTGTCTGCTGACTGTGAGGTACAGGGTCAAAGTTTACCCAATGATGACGAATAGGGGGCGGGTCGAACCGCGCATATGTTCGCACGCCGTGGCGAACGCGAACATGCTATGTTCGCCAGGAACCGTTCGCCGGCGAACCGTTCGGTACATCACTACTGACTACATAGACATTATATCAGTAATTTCTTGCATCTTATTTGGTGTATGTGCTATATAATCTTTTTTGTTTGTTTATTTTAACAGTTTTTTAATAAATTATATGTTTTATATTTTTAACACACTGCAGCAATTTGAATTTCTGTATTACAAGCACAGTCACTGTTAGAAGGCAATTCCCCTTTTCCTTTCTCCAGGCTCCAATATTTGTTGGCAAGTGAGTGTCTATTTATTTGCTATAACATAAGCTTTTTTTTTTGTAAATCTTTTTTTTTTTTTTGCAGTGCATAAGGTTACTTGCAATGCCCAAACAGCATGAATCCACAATCTCTCAAGCACAAGCCTTGATGGGAGTCGCTGCCCTATGTCCAGGGATCGCCTCACTGATAATGGCAGGAGCTCCTGAACACCTAAGGGTAGGTGGACGGTGGGGTGGAGATAACTCCACGTGGGCCTCAGGCCCAGAGAGAGAACTGCAGGTCGAGTTGTCAGCCCTAAATAGTAAAAAGATGGGATTTCTAGCGCTTGTTAAAAGTTTATGTGGCAGCTCAGACTTTCCAAACTAGAGTCATTTCCTTCTGACTGTAGGTAGATATAGAAAGGGAATGCAGGGAAGCAGCGCCTTCACAAGTGTCTTCAACTCAAATAAAGATGAAACAATATGCAACATAAGAGTACAAATAAAACGGAATATGGTATAGTATTTGTAATGCTGGTGTTTATAAATTAAAAAAAGGAAATGCACTTACAATCTTCTGGAGCTTGAAATCAGCGGCAGACAAATGCGCTTGGGCAGTATAATCCCCGTCTGTGCGTATGCTGATCTTGGTTTTCATCTTAATCTTATGTGGAAGGTCAGTCAGCAGTGTGTGGAGGTAAACGTTTGTGGTCTCTTTCGATATGACATTTTATTGTTGTCAGTTGTCAGTCATCAGTCCTGGTTGGTGGCACAATAGTTGAGGTACTAATGGTAGGTCTGCTGTATATACGCCTGGCAAAGCTTATTAAACTTTGCATTAAACATTTCCCCTTCCACATACCAATAATACGCCTCTGCCTCTGGACCACAAATGCCTTACTCCATTGTGGTATTGTAAAGTTTTTGGCTACATCAACTATTTTATGTTTGTTTGTAATCAGACATCATGTTTAACAAATTATAGATGAAGGAACAAAAATTGTCAGGGAGCTGTTGGGGATGTACAAGCTTTTTAATACTATGATAAGTTAGGTTTCATATCGCTTGAGTTGATGGTATTGGCTAATATTGATTTAACTTGAAGGCAGTGTTAGGGACCAAGAACCAGACCGAGAAAGAACGTAGATGCAAAACTTTTATTGAAAAATAGCAAAAAATGAAATAAATGCAAAAGTAAAGTCCAGGAGGCAAGCAGGGGTCAGGCACCAAAGTGGGTAGTCAGACTAGCCAGAATCAGGAGAACGGAGAGCAGAGGAGCCAGGAACCAGGCCAGAAGTCAAGAACCAGGAAACAGGAAGTCTTCTGGGAAACAGGAAACCACGCAAGGGCAAGTAAGTACTGGTACTTGCTGCTTAAATAGGCTGCACTGATTAGCAAGAGGGCTGGCTACTAACAACCAGGTAAGTAACCGCTGAAACAGTAATGAAGGAGCTGTTCCTTAAAAGCAGCTAAATAGCTCAGACACAGAGAAAGGAAGGGTTGCTGTTTAAAACGGCAGAGAAACCCTGACAGGTAGGAGAATAGGGTTATCTGTATATAGACCTCAAGAGATACTGGAGCATGGGTAGCAGGATCATTTTTATGGCCACCATTCTGCCTAGCCATGATAAAAACTTCTCCCAAGATTTCAGGGCATCTGCCATCTCCCTCAATAGTCTCTCATAGTTTGATCTCAATAGTTGGTCCAGATTTCTTGTGATTTTCAGGCCCTCCAATCCATGGTAAAGGATGTCTGGAGAGTGTCTAATACCTTTCTCGCTATACCTATTCCTGTGGCCTGGGTTTTGGTTCCAATGCGTTTATAGTAAGAGAGTCGTCCATATTCTTTAATTCCTTGCAGTAAATTATATAGTGATATTTGGGGTTGTCTTATTGTTAACAGAACATCTTCTTCAAAAAGATTGGCTTTATGATCTTTGGGTCCAATTGGCACCCCATGCATTGATTCATAGTTCCTGGTCTTGGCCGCTAAGGGTTTTAGTGCCATAACATATAGGAGGGAAGAGAGCGGGCACTCCTGTTTTGATCCATTGGAGAATACAAATGGGTCCAACAGAAAACCTGTGTTAAGGACTTGGGCCATTGGTGCTCTGTAAAGAGCACATGCAGTTGTTCGGTTCTACAAATTTAGCAAAGACCGCTCCCAGGAATTTCCAGTGGAGGCAGTCAAAGACTTTTTCTGCATCAAGGGACAAGAGCAAGCCCCGACCAATTTGTTACTTTTTTTTTATTTTTTATTAATTCTTTATTTTTCAATTTTAGGTGAGGTAAAGGGTACAGAATAAAGGTAGGGGTAGGGTAGCAGTGATATTCAATCAATTTCAGTTTCGTTTCATTTCAATGGTATCAGTACGATTTATTGCGAAACCTCATGTCAGTCTTCTGGGTTGAGTGGTTCAGTTTTTGTATGTCTCAGGTGAAGGTTGTCACTTGGTCTTGGGTCTTGTCATCTTTGCCTCTGAGAGCATGTCTGGCTCTTCCTGTGTTGTGTTTGTCAAGTTTGTGTCTCTTTCGGTTTTATTTGGGCCTGGGGTTTGGTCTGGTGTGTCTGTTTTGTGTGCGGGTGCGGTCATTGCGAGAGTTTGGTGGTCTCGACCCATGGGTGGTCGTCTTGTTTAGGCTGTAGATGTGGAGAGATCCGAGTTTAAGTCTAGTGCCTGAGGTTGTTCTCTTATATTTGTATCTGCTGCTGGTGATCATGTTGTACGGGGTGTGGTATTTTGTTTTTGTGTTGGGTGAGTTCCCTAGTCTTGTGATTGTGCTTTTATTTGTGAGGTTGGTGTGGGGAGGAGGGGTCTGTGTAGGGTTTGGGAGGTTGGGGTCTAGTGTGCTATCAGTAGGGGGTCTTTTTTTTTGGGGGGGGGGAGGAATCGTCTCTTGTTCCCGGGTCCTCCTTTTATGGTGCCAGTAGGTGGTGTTGGGTCCATGGGTCCCATATCTTGTGGAAGTTTTGTGTTGTATCGTGTAGTAGGGCTGATAGTTTGTCCATTTCCATTGTTTCTTGTGTTTTGTTGATCATAGTGGTTAGTTGGGATGTATTCTGATTGCCCCATTGTTCTGCTATCGTCCTTCTGGTGGCCAACGCTAGTCTGGCCACCAGTTTATTCTGCGCTCTGGTGAGGGGGGGTGGGGTTTAGAAAGCAGCCATATCCAGGGGTCTCTTGGTATGTCTGTTTCTAATATGTCTGACGCAAGCGTGACCGCTCTTTCCCATATTTGTAGGACTTGGGGACATTCCCACCAGAGGTGGATGTATGTACCCTTCTGTGTGCAGCCTTTCCAGCATGTATCTGTGGTGGCTAGGCCCATTTGTTTCAGTCTGAGTGGTGTGAGGTACCATCTGAGTAGGGTTTTATAGGCTTGCTCTTTATGGTTAACGCAAATGGTAAGCGAAGCAGTGGCTTCCCATATGTCTGCCCAGTCTGTGGGGTCTGCAGGGGGGCCTATATCTCTTTCCCAAGCCTTGGTGTAGAAGAGAGCACTGGCGTACATACCAGGGTCGCAGGGGTCGCGACTGCGACCGGGCCCGGCCCACCAGGTATGTAGCCACAGGGCCAGCCTCTTCCCCTGGGGGGCCCAGGAGCCGACCACCCCAGGGCCCCCCTGAGGCTGGCCCTGCTGGATTCGGAGAGTTGAAACAGAGTGGGAGCGCTGCTTAGGGAGATTAGTGCTTCTTTCAGCCCCCTCGCCAAGACCGTTATATCGATACCGAGCCGGAAGATGACGTCATCTTCCGGCGCCGGCATCCCTACGCGGCGCGCGAGGGAGCTGAAGAGGAAGCACTGAGTGCTCCCTCGCGCGCCCGCCTGCCTGCCCGACCGGCCGCCAGCCCAGGAGCTCCACTGGACCCCAGGGAATAATCCCCCCCAGCACTCCAAGAGGTAAGGAGGCTGGGGGGATTATATTAAAAAAAATAAAAAATCGTGTGTGTGTGTGTGAGTGTTAGAGTGAGTGTTAGAGTGAGTGTTAGTGTGCGTGAGTGTTAGTGTGTGTGAGTGTTAGTGTGAGTGTTAGTGTGTGTGAGTGTTAGTGTGCGTGAGTGTTAGTGTGCGTGAGTGTTAGTGTGTGTGTTAGAGTGAGTGTTAGTGTGTGTCTGCTAGTGAGTGTTAGTGTGTTAGTGTGTGTGTCTGCTAGTGAGTGTCAGTGAGTGTGTTACTGTGTGTGTCTTACTGAGTGTGTGTGTTAGTGAGTCTGTTTGATGTCTGTTACTGAGTGTGTGTTTGTCAATGAGAGTGTATGTTTTGTACATGAGTGTGTATGTATGTCTGTCGCTGACTGTATCTCTGTCAGTAAATGTGTGTGTCTGTTAGCTAGTGTGTATGCGTCTGTAAGTGAGAGTGTGTGTGTCTTCAGCACTTACCTTTCTCCAGCGCCGGTCTCCCTTAAGCTGAGGATCCTCAGCCTTCATCTCAATGCGCACTCCGCCAAGACAAAGATTTAAATCACTTCATAGGAAAGCATTACTCAAAATGCTTCCCAGCGGACGTTTCAGTAAGTCTCCCTGAAGCGGCTGTCCGTGGAGATGCGCCAATTAGTTGATTAACCCTCAGTGAAATACAGCAGTTTCTCTGAAACCGCTGGGCGTTTTCAGCTGCAGGGTTAAAACTAGAGGAACTCCAGATACCCTGTGACAACTTCTAGCTGAGCCGATGCACTGGGTGTTCGTAGTGGTCCTTAAAGGGACTGACATAAGTGCCAGGGAAACATACCGCTTTCCTGGCACGTAGCGCCCTGAGGGTGCTCCCCACCTCAGGGGACCTCCCTACCTCCGGCTCTGGAAAAGGGGTAAAACTACCTTTTTCCAATCGGGCTGGGCTGAGCCTCCTCCCATCCTCCTCTTCTCCTCCCCGTCAGCTGTATGCGCACGCGCGGCAAGAGCTGCGCGCGCATTCAGCTGGTCACATAGGAAAGCATTCATAATGCTTTCCTATGGACGCTGGCGTGCTCTCACTGTGAAAATCACAGTGAGAAGCACGCAAGCGCCTCTAGCGGCTGTCAATGGGACAGCCAGTAGAGGAAATAGGGGAAGGCTTAACCCATTCATAAACACAGCAGTTTCTCTGAAACTGCTATGTTTATGAAAAAATGGGTTAACCCTAGCTCGACCTGGCATCCAGACCACTTCATTAAGCTGAAGTGGTCTGGGTGCCTAGAGTGGTCCTTTAAGTGTGTGTGCATCTGCATGCACTGGCGTACATACCGCGGTCGCAGTGGTCGCAGCCCTGTAACCCCTGCGACCAGGTGACCACCGCCATGTGTTGCGGCCCGGCCCGTGCGTGGGGGGGGGCCCACGGATCAATTTTCGCACCGGGGCCCCATGGGTCATGTGTACGCCACTGGAAGAGAGCGTCCACTGGGGAGTTTGAGTTTAGGAATGAGTATATTTTTGTGATTTGTCCTTTCTGTATGGGTGCGTGGAGGCATGTTTTTTCGAATTGCGTTGGTTTGGTAGTGGCGGCTGCCCTATTTTGTGGTTCATTGAGAAAGCTGCAAATCTGTATGTAGCGGAAGTGGTCGAATGTGGTCAGGGGTGTTTGTTTGGGGAGGTCCTGGAAGGTGCAGAGTTGTTGGCCTTGGAAAAAGTGGAGGAATCGGAACAGTCCGTTGTCCTCAAATCATGAGAAGTCTTTGGGAGTTAGGCCTGGGGGAAATTGCTTGTTTCTTAGAATAGGTGTGAGGGGCGATGGTGTGTTCATTATGGGAAGTTTTGATGTGATGTCGTCCCATATGAGAAAAGATGTGGTTAGTGTAGGAGTAGTTTGTGGGGTGGGCGGTCTATCTTTCTTGGGTATCCAAAAAAGTAGTGATGGGTGGTCTCGTCCCAGGAGGTCGTGACTATTTACTATAACACGAGTTGTCAAAGACATCTGGCCCTGACGATTTACCCTTTGGCAATGCTTCATAACTTCTGTAATTTCTTTTACAGCTATAGGGTTGCTAAGTACTGCTTGCTTTTGTTGTGTTAGCCTGGACAAACGTATCTTGTCCAGATATGTATGAATGTGTTTCACAAAGTGCCACAAAGGACAGTCACTCTCTGTTGGATTTTGTACAGTTTTTGGAGTATCCTGTGGAAAAAAATGTGTTGGTTGGTGTTGGGTGCATACACACTAGCAATGGTACATAGCGTATTATTAACTGTTCCACCACAAAAAGAATCATAGTACCTTTAGATTTTGTAAGAGAGGTACTGTGAATTTGTGTAGATTAGTGGGCTGTCAGAAGCTATGGGTGGTTATTAATTTTAAAGTGTGTCTCTTGCAACTATGTCCGCCCCTTAGGACTTGAGTTCATGGTATAATAAGTGCCTTTTAACAGAGATAATTATATTTTGAATTTATATAAATTTGGATGGATATATCTATTTCCCATTCCTTTTTTACTTTGTGTTTCCCTTTCCTCACCTTTACGCCTCACCTTTATTTTGTTATTAATGTTTTTGTTATTATAAAATTATTTGAAATTTTTTTATAAAAACTATGTGAACCAAGAAATAGGAATACAGGAAGAGCATACCTGGTAATCTAGTAGGATTTGTTAGTTCAAATATTTTTTTCCCAAAATGTAAACTTTATTTAGGACATCCAACACTCATTCATGAAAAGGTTTAGCCAAAAAATAATCAAAGGAGGGCAAAATAGGAGGTGCAGTAAACAAATAAATAAATGTAAAGACTTTTTTTTTTTTTCCTTGATTAGTTATATCTCATTAAGTCTGTGAATATGCAAAATATAAGGCAAGATAGTGCAGTTTAAAAAATAAAATCTATTCTGTGCAGCTATGAGTTCAAAAACCACTGTGGCTGTCAAAAAAGTGGTAGCAATATTTTAATGAGAATTACATTTAAAAAAGTTAAAACAAATGCAAAAAGAATGCTAGTGCACCACAATTCTATGTCATTTTAATGAATGATTTGAACAACTACAAATGTTTCAGGTGAAATACCCTCTATCAGTGTACAATGCCTTTACGTCACATAAATGAATTTACCCCAATGTATACAGTAGAATTAAACTACACGCCACATTGAGAAACCATACAAAAGTGCCCAAAAAAGATTCCAGATAGGCTTGGACAATCTATTGGTCAGTTCTCATTTGATTTGTGATTGAAATGAACATTTTATGGCTATCCACTAGCCATCAATAATCTTCTCTCTCATCCCAAAACATCTACAGATACTCAGGCATCGCCTTGTCATTTATTTTATGGCTATCCAAATGTGTGAAATTATACTTCTCTTGAAACTTGGCTCTCAGAGCGCTCTGATTGGTTGGCTTATTGCTTAGTGCCACAAAATGGTTATTTGGTAGTTTATATACAATGCATACATCTGGTATGAATATTGTTAAAGTGGTTAAAGAGGTCTAAATAGTCAATATATAATGCTACTTTGTTATACATTTTCTTCTCTCATGTGAGATCCCACTCATCATATGTAACGGAAATGCTGCTTTTGAGATTAATTCCATTAAATATGGGTCTCATCAAGTGTTGTTTATAAGCTCACTGGTTGGATTATATCAGTGGAATATCATTATATTTTTGGGAAAAGTAAATCCCAGGAATAACATTTTACTGCACAAAGGTTTATGTGTTACCCCCAACAAGTTAAGATGATGGGATATGGATAATGCTGCATATAAATATATTATGATAATGAACACATCAACATTTCGAGTGACCAGCAAGATTATTCTAAAAAGTAAGAATTCAAAGTGAATTCCAAGTTAATTTCAAATTTAAGGTCAAAATAGCTGAACTGGAAACATTCTCTAAATTAGCTATGCTCACAGTTCAGCTACTTTGACCTTAAATTTGAAAATAACATGAAATTATGAATTTAGTGAATAACCCTGTAAATCATTATTTACTATGCAATTCCTATATCCCAGCGTTCCTTGATATGATAAGTGAGTCACCTTAAACATTGTTATATATCAAGTCCAAGCTAACGAGAAGCATGCCCTCAAGATATTATAATTTAGTAAGAACATTGATCCTTCACTTTAATCACTATTTCTGAATACTGAAATTGTATGCTTGTGTTACTGTTATGCCTTGGGTTATATGTGTTTCCTGTCCACAACATCTTAGGTTTTCATTAAAATAATTGATTGATAAATTTAATTGCACTGCACTTTCTGTGTGAGATTAGGCTGAGGAGCATTTCAAACAAGCAGACGAAAAGCAAACAATTATTAAATCTATGGAGTTTTGTCAAGATACACCTGCACAACTAGACATAAAGACACCTAGAAAATGTGCAACAGCATGCAGACTGCCTCCCTATCCCCACCCTACACCAAATCACTTACCATACAAGAAAACTTTTAGCCCAGGGACATTGCTTGGCGGCAAAAATACTTTTAGCACAAAGGCACATTTTATAGTCCAAGCAGTGATTTGAAGTGGTAATGGTGGTAGGATTCAGAAAGGGATACGGAATATGTTATATAAATACCAATAATAATAATGTCAGTACTTAAGCTTGAGATATTTGCACTTGTGTGCTAGGAGCAAGTTCCCTACCTCCCGCTTCCATTCATGCATCATTGGTTTCCTTTAAAAGAAAACTCCCTCCCTCTGCCTCCCATCTACCCTTGCCCACCCAGAGCACGCGCATACCCTCTAAGCTAGCAATAGGTCCAATCAAAAGGCCTGTGATTGGACAGTGCGCGGCACCTGTGACCTGGATTCCAAGTGAGTGAAATGGTTTTTTTTTTACAGCTTTTACTGAAAACAGAGCAGGGGAAGCTTCTTAGCAGTGCCTAATTGGAGATATTACATCGGAAATGTTCCCCTGCTCCAAATAGTTTAATTAACTCTCTAAGTCTCTGCTAAAACAATGCCCTATGCCACACTCTAAGCTCAAGACAAAATTGAAAACCAGATAACTACGTCTGTAGTAAAAGAACAGGCAGTCAAAATATAAAAAAGAAATTAAATGTGAGCACACATGTCTAGTTAGAGGGTAGCTGGTGGCGTGCGGTTTAGCACTTTATTTGATCATGTTTTCCCAGTATGGTGGTCCACCCTTGAACTCCAGGACATGTATTTTTAAAATGAAGAAATAAAGATACTACAACTTGGATAGTGAGAGGTCTGATCAATATGTACATTTGACCACTTTTCATGTACGGTTGACTTTGTTTCTATGTCAGAAATATGGCTTTTTAGGCTTTTTTTTAGGCTTTTTAGTCATCCATGAAGCTACTGGTCCTTCTGACCAGACTTCTTTCAGACACAAGATGGGTGTACCAGGTTCCCACTGATTTCTGCCAATTCTGAGCTAATGGCACTGCTGGACATCTTTCAAGGGAAGTCAGCTTG